CATGCCTGGTGACCAGCATCCAGTCGCTCTCGACAGCTCCTGAGCGCCAGCTGTACCACCGGCAAGCAGCACCTCGAGATGACCATGAAGGTGAGCAGGTGAGCAGAACGAAACTCCCCGCGCAGCCCGACATCCTCCTTGGGCGGAATTGGCACGGTGCCGTCGGCGAAGCTCTTCAGCCCGGCGACCTCCAGCTGAGGTTCGATCGACTCCCTCCAGGTGATGAGGTCCCGTCGACCTTGCAGCGGAGCAACGGTGATTCGATCCGGCGAAAACTTGAAATAGCCATACGCCGGTGCAATCCCGCCCGCCGTCACATGCGTCGTCGCCGAGAGCCCACCACCACTTCGTAGAGGAGAGCGACGTCGAACATCGACGTCGGCGTGCGAGCTGTCTGCAGCCGCCGTCGACCGCTGCACTCGCGCCTGGATTCCGTCGACACCACCGTCGACCTTGATCACTCCTCTATGCCTCGTGCCTTCGCTGCCGCTGACTCGTGCACCACCGTCGACCTCGTCGTCGACGCCACCTTCGTTGCGCACCGGCCGAGGAGAAGCAGGACGGGAAGGGTGTTCCGTCGCCCACTGCGACCGGATGCCCAACTCGGCGATCACTAAGGGGATCGTCCCGTACTCGCCATTCGCGTGGCGTCTCCTCGCGTCAGCCAAACGTGCCTCCAAAGTGTCAGCTACACCCGCATCAACTACGGGGTCGACCATGGCGACTATCGTTGCTGCCGGCCTACGAACGACTTAGTAGGTGCAAAAGTCGGCTCCTATCCGAAGGTCGCGTGTTCGTTCCACGCTCACCGCACCATGATGAGATTCACTCTACAACGGCAGTGAGCTAGACTACAGGGTTGGCACGAACTACTAGAGGTGATCTCACCTTTGCTTGGTTCCTTAGTGCTTGCACATTCACACGCGAAATTGGCAAGAGTTTCCACTAGCAAAGTTGGAATTACAGAATTGAATAAAAGAAGCAATGACAACAATGACTACATCAGGCACCTAGCAACCCTGCAGCTAGCCTGGTCGACTGCCAGCGCAGCTCGGTCGACCGCCTGCCAGCATTGCGTAGAGGAGCCGCGCCAGCACTGCAGAAGGGCGACCTGCCAACAAAGCAGGTCGACGGCGTGCCCCGTAGAACACAGCAGTGCGCGCGCTCGCAGGTGTGCGCAGACGATTGGTCTGACTTGCCTCGTTGGGCATCCGTCGGCTGTTGTCTGCGCCTGACGAGCCACATCGACTTCAGGATACCAGCCCGAAGTCGCCTGCGCCATCGCGATCTCGACGGCATTCGCGTGCCTCCGCAGAACTCGTCGAGCAGGTTACCCGGTCGACCTGGTCGACCCCTGGTGCTCTGGTCGACTCCCAGGTGCCTCCCGTCGACCACTTGGTCTCTCTGGTCGACCACCGGATGCTCCTGGTCGACCACACCTCCCGTCAAGCTACCTCTTGGTCGACGGACCCCTTCCGTCGACCAGAACTGATCCGTCGACCTCCCGGTCGAACTGCAGTTCGACGGGATGCTCCGTAGACCTCCCCGTCGAACTGTAGGTCGACGGACTGCTTCGTCGACCTCCCGGACGGCTCACCCGTCGCCCAGGCCAGTCAGTTGCAGCTGTCGAGCATCCTGGTCGACAGCAACACCACAGCGGTCCGCTGCCGCTTGACGTAACCTGTCGAGCAGCTATCCCACTGTGAACAGTCGGCTGCTACTCCCGTGCATCCGACCAAGTCGCCGGCGTTGCCCAAGCGAGGGCGGGGCCAACACTCCATTCCCGTTAACAGAAGAGGAACCTGCTGATGGTGCTGCGCGCGAAGAGACTGACGTCAAAGACAATGCTGAAGACGACGACGATGCGCAGCCGGCAGAGACCTCTGTTGACGACGACGACGACGGCTATCTGAGCGACGACTCGGATGATCACCTGGAACCAGAATCTCTTACCAGCATTATTGCTCTGAAACGCTTTTGCCTAACCTTGTTGGTGCCGATTGCCAGGAAGGTGGAGGTTAACAGTGCTGCAGTAACAGTTGCCGCCATGCTGGATGAATGGAAGGAGCTGTTAACCACGGATGTGCTGTTGACCACCACGTACTAGGGCGTCACGCCAATGTTTGTTTCCGGAGAGCGCTATGGACGCCTGCAGGTTACCTTCAATCACGTTCGCGACGCTAACTTCGTCTGGAGCTAGGTTATTCGCCACGAATGCGTCAACGGTGACTTCATTGATCTCACCTGGCAGCACCCGGAGGATGCGCGTTTCCTGCGTGAACGCGTGCTGAACCCCACGGCGAAGGAGGTTATAATCAAAGGCGTACCGGCGGAGATATCGGCGGAGCTGATTCGCCGTTTGCTGGTGGTGTCAAAGCTGGTTAAACGCGGCAGAAGCGTGTTTGCCAGTGGTTTCGGCTTCCATCGGACGGTTGATCCGGTATCAGGCTTGGACACGGATTGCATTTGCGGGCTGTTTGTCCCTCACGCTGACGACGAGTACCACTGGCGTACCTTTGTGGAAGACCCCACCACACGAAAGCGTTACCTGCTGCATTACACATCACTGACCTGTGATTTCTGTGGAGGCCAGCACTTGACGCGTTATCACGACCGCTACGTCGCCCCGAGACAGGATAACTTCAACAACTGGAACCTGACTGTTAAAAAGGTTCACGAGATGAACGGTACAAGCCAAGAGACGTTCTACCTGCCTCCGATGCCCGCTTTCCTGAACGCTTTTTACCCCGTACCTCTTTCTGACGTTTGTCTGCTCCTCTCCCCCCGCAGCTGCGTCCTTGATAGCTTCAGATCTCATGAAGCGCATCATACGAGACCCTGCTATCATTCTCACTTCCACTGGAAGCGCGCGGGAGGAATGGGTCTGTGTCCAGGCGGTATGCGAGAAGGCGCAGGGAGTTCACTTCGAACAGGCATCGGCGCATATTGTATCTGCAAAGCACAAGGGGGGTGTGCCGAAGGAAAGTTCAGCCATGCGCGCCAGCAAGTTCTCCCAGAAAATGCTGGCTTTCAAGAAGGAGTACACTGCGAAACCAGCGAAGTAACATGTGATACGGCGAAGCAATGCCTGAAGAGTGTCTTAGGAGGATGTCTTAATGTAGTCTCCAGCGGTGTAATAAGAGAGGTGGTCGGTATCAGCGGCTCACCTGTCATGGTAGCAGTTCTGTTCCTTACAGCCCGTGGATGCAAAGGGGCTTTCCAGTTGTTGATTAATGGATAAGGCCCACAAGGTCATTTTCTGCGAGTTCAACATCAACGGACTCGGAAGTGTAGAGAAACAAAAGAAATGCAGTGAGTGGATGAAGGAGAAGTCAGACGTGGCGATAATCACAGACACCAGATTACAAGCAGATCACAACCTCTGGACGGACATAACTCCAAGTGCGGTTGCAGTATGTGGACAGAGCCTTGACAAGTCGGCGGGGGGTGTTGCTATCGCCAGTTTTGTACCTGGAATGATCTTCACAAGCACCCACGCGCATGTATCTGGCAGGCTCCTGGCGGTAGTAGTCCAGTGGGGCAAGTTGGAGCTGCTGCTGATAGCAGCATACATCCCAGCGCAAGCAGTTAACAGGTCCAGTTTCTACAGGGACAACCTGGTGCCTTTCTTGGGGTCCCTCCCGGCACTCCAGAACATACTGGTGATGGGGGACCTTAATGTGGTTGAAGACCCGGACTTGGATCGCACCTCACATGCCGGCTCCTCTGCGGAAAATCAACGGCTCCTGAGCTGCTGGGGAAATACGGACCTGAGGGACGCTTTCAGACACATGCACCCGGACAAAAGGGAATATACTTTCTTCGCAAAGGCAACACGATCCAGCTCAAGGATAGACAGGGCGCAGATTTCGCTGCCGCTGTTGTGCAAGTTGGCAGAGGCGAGACATGTGGCGATTACAAACGGTATGACAGATCACTGGAACGGAATAGGCGTGGTGCTGGAATCCGCTGAAGCCGTGAAGAACGGGCCAGGCATCTGGAGGTTACGGGCGGAGCAGGCAAAAAAAAGTGGAGTTAGGAAGATAATAAAAAAGATCATTGAGGAGTCGGCGGGCGGATCAGTCGAGAGACTGCTGGAAAGGCTGATCGCGTGCCTGAAAGCGTACTCAAGGGAGGAGAGGAAGCGGGAGAAGGCGACGAGGCTTCATCTCACTAAGGAGGTTGAACGGCTCAGGGAGCGGGTATCGCGCTTTCTACACTGCCAAAGGACGGGACGTATCCTACTCCGGAAAGAGGAACTGTTGGATGCATACGAGAAAAATCGCAAGGAGCAACTGCAAACATGGGCAGGCATAGAGGCTGAAATGGACGGGGAGGTGGCGTCAGGTGCACTGTCGGCGCAAATCAAAACTCGAAAGGCGAAGACGGTAATCCGAGAGGTATCAAGGAACGGGATCATCTCTACGGGGGTGAAGGAGGTTCTCACGGCGGCTACGGATCATTTCCGCGAAGCCTTCAGTTGCACAGGCGGAGGAGTGGTGCCTGGCAGGACGGCCCACCCCGTGCAACGGACACTGGGAGACAAGAGCAGACTGGCGCTAAGTGCACCATGGTCGGAGGCCGATGTACGGAAGGCGGTGAAGGAACTCGCTCCGAGAAAATCGCCAGGAGCAGACGGCTTGCCTAAGGAGCTTTTCGACCATAACTGGGACTTGCTGGGGCCGATACTGATGGATCTGGTGAGGAGGTTCACGGAAGGAGATGAGCTGCCGCACAGTGTCTCCACAGCGGTGACCATCCTGTTGCATAAGAAGGGCGAAAAAAGCGAGTTAGGGAATTATCGGCCGATAACGCTTCTAAGCACAGTGTACAAGATTATCGCAAAGGTGATGGCGAGCAGACCCAAGGCAGTACTACATGAGGTCATCTCGGAGGACCAATATGGCTTCATACCTGGTCGGCAGCTGGCGGACGCGGTGTCGGTGGTAGCAGACGCCATTGAAGCAGGTGCTAACGGGAAGTAGGACTGGTACCTGATGATGACCGATTTTCAGAAGGCCTTCGACTCAATATCGCGTGATTACCTATTCGGAACGCTACAGAAGCTGGGTTTGCCGGAGGATTTCGTGGGATGGACGATAGGTTTACACAAAGAAGCGGGTACATGTCTGCACATCAACGGATGGACAGGGGACAAGGTGGCAGTGGAAAAGGGCGTGCGCCAAGGCTGTCCGCTGGCGCCGTACCTTTTTCTCTGCGCGGTAGAACCGTTATGTCAGGAGATCAGCAGAGTAAAGCTGGGGATCGGGAAGAAAGGCGTGGGGAAACTGGCGTACCTGGGGTATGCTGACGATACCTCTCTCTTGCTACACGGTGTGGAGCAGCTGGAGGCAGCAGCAGGGGTGCTGTCAGCCTTCGAAGAAGAGTCGGGGCTGAAGGTAAACGAGGGGAAAACGGTAATCTTCCCGCTGGGGAAGAATCGGGGAAAGACAGCGCCGCAAAACCTGAATTACAAATGGGCGGACAAGGATGAACCGGAGCGTCATCTGGGGATCTGGATTACGCCGAACGGTGACCCGACTCCATCCTGGAACAAAGCGTTGGACAGGGCGAAAGGGGAGTTAGCGAAGTGGGAAATGCAGCATCCGACAACGTCAGCAAGGGTCACGATAGTCAACAGCTACATTGTGCCGATCTTTCTCTTCCAGGCACAAGTTTACCTGCCACCAGAGGCCATATGGAAGAAGATCCGCAAGTTGTGCCACACCTTCATCTCGAAAGGGGAAGCGGTGGAAGAGAAGCAATGCATCCTCTGGAATTATCGGCTGGTCTGCACGCCGCGGAAAGACGGGGGATTGGGGTTGATATGTCCCGAAAAACGGGTCGACAGCATCGCCATCCGCTGTGTCTGCAAGCTGGTGCTGAAACCAAACTCGGTCAAGAAGTGGCTGGCGGAGAAAGCGGCGGAGATGCCCCTGGAGCTGGACACAATCTTCGCACACAGGTCGCTGTTGGATCACTGGGAGAAAGGGAGCGAGCGGTGGAAGGAGTTAATTGGAAAATTCTGGGTCTCTCCGCTATGCAAACCACGGGCTCCAACAAACCGCTAGGAGGTGGAACAGGAACATCTGGCGTTCAACCCGAATATCCCCTTCAGAGGCGCGAGCCCCTTCGGGAACCAGAAAGGCGCAGAGGCGTTACTCGGCATCCGCATGGGAGACCTGATTGTTAAAGCGCGAGACGGAACATGTGAGCTCAAGAAGCTGGCAGCACTGGCAAGGGAGCTCGGTTGCAGGGAGAAGGCGAAGTGGGCGTTGAGGGCTTTCAACGCAGCACCAGCAACCTGGAAGGAGATGGTACTCGCAAAATTGACAAGCGAGGAGATCGTGGCTACGGTGAAGCTTCTACGGTCGAGCAACGGCGCAACTGGTGGTTTTACCTACTGGAAAGTGGGCGAAGCAAGAGGCGACACGGTGGAGGGGATACTATGCGATATAGGGGACAGAGGGCACTTCTCACCCTACGAGGGAAACCTCAAGATGTATTTCAACCTGCGTAGCGGGGTGCCGACGTTCACGGAAGGGAGTGTATTCCTGGGCCCCATGGGGGACGTGCGGACGAAGCTTTTGCTCTCAGCGGCATGCGAAGGAGGGGAGCTGATCACGCTGAAAGGGATAAGGAAGGTGCTGGCAGACTCGGCCGGACCACAAGAAGAACAAAGGAGATGGGAAGGACAGAGGAGGGTGATCGAGTGGGACAGAGTCATCGAACAGAGGGACTCCCTGGTCACCCCACGGCGGGCACGTGAAATCCTCATACGGCTCCACTGTAGGAACCTGCAAGTGGGCTCGAGGCTGTTTTTCATGGGGGTGGTCTGCCCACACTGCCAGGGAGAGGAAACCCCAGATAACTGCCTCCTTGACTGCCTGGCGGTGCAGGGGGTGGCGAATGTGATGAGGCATGGACTAGAAATAATGCGCCCGGGCCTAGCGTGGCAAGATCTGGAGGATCTGCTCTTCATGCAAAGAAGCACAAGGTCGGGCTTTCCAGAAGGGACATGAATTGCAACATTCCTGCATCAAGTATGGTTGGCAAGATGCAACGCGGTGTGGAGGAATGAAGCCTTCCAACCTAGGAAGGTGACTCGGCAGGCGGTGGTAAAGTTTGTCGCACATGCGAGGATATACTGCGCGGCGCGCAGAGAATCAGCGCGGTTGAAGGGACATGCCTTGGACAGTGACTGGGCGTACCTGGCAGACAACGAGGCAGTGGTGATGCGGCGTATTTGCAGCAGTGACCCACCGCTGGCGTGGAGGATCGGCTTCAGCTCTGTGTGGGACAACCCCAGGCTGACACATCAGCCCCCGTAGCTGCCTTAGAGGGGATCTGCATTACTAGCTTTTGTAGCGCTCCCCTCAACCCTACAGTTACGACTGCCGATGTCTATACATTCTTGTAATGTATTTTGGTATCAAAAAAAAAAAAAAAAAAAGCAGTTGTTACCGCCCGGTTGATCTTCTGGAAGCAGTAGATGATGTTTAACCGTCTACAGATATTCACGCGTTTCTATCGACCTTTATTTTTACTTCTACTAGTCGTGCAGCTTCACAAGCGTTAAAATTTGACCAGCCTCCTTAGATTTCCTGGAAGCTTGCCGCACCACGATGGCAACGGACGGCAGGAGACGCATCATTCGGCTCCGCTTACTTTTCTTTCTGACGTGTTCCGCCGTGGTTTTTCCTGTCTGATGTGTCCCGTTCGCCGCCTCACAAGGTCCGCGGCTGTGTCCCGTTGCCATCCCTGCCCTCTACACGCCCACCCCCACCTCCAATCTCGTGTATTTATTGTCCTGATAAATCTCATGTCTATGCATTCCTGGTGAAGGTATTAGGATGCATGGTGAAGGTCATACTGATGTCTGGTGCAGGGTTTGAGAGAGGGAGGGAAGGTCATACAATGAGCTGATCAATTTATCTCTCCCTTTCCCACCTCCTCAAGAAGTACTTCTCCTTCCTTTGAAAATAATGCTGGCTGCACTTACAGCAGGCATAGGGGTAGAATTCATACTAGAATCAACACAAAGAGTACTAGGAGTCCCAGTTTTTTTGTGCCTCAAAGAGCTTAGGACAGCTCATCCTCAACAAGAATAGTCCCTCGTTTGGCCTCCTCTCTTCTGTAGCACCATCGTTATCTATTTGTTTATTGTTCCCATGCAGTTTGAATGCGCGAGTCACGGTTTCCTGGTACGTCGAATGTGTCCATTCCGCAGTTGTCACGCAAGTTGATGAGAGGAGGACGCCGAAAGCCGACACACATGTGATGGGAGCTGAGTTATTCTTCCCCTGTTCCCTGCCCACCCCCTCCGTCTATCCTTCTCCTGCTCCCTGGCCCCCTCTCCCCCACCATCTACCGCCAGTGCAAGTCCTGATAGACTTGCAGCAAGCGTGGGGGCGAAATGTCTATGGGTGGGTGGCTGGGGGGAACTGCAGCTTGGCCTACGCTGTGAAGTGCAATGTGCAAGGCATGGTGACCGACATGTGAGAGCACCAAGTCTTGCTGGACTTGCATCCCCCAGTTTTGCACCAACTCTTGCTCGTCCTCACTTGGTTGCCTCTGTGTTCTTGCTCCCTCACCCATTTCGCGTGCTTTGTCTCTTGCAATTTTAAATACCCCCCCATGTTCAAGTAGCGCTACGTTTAAATCACTGGAGAACTGAGATTTAGAGAGCAAGGTAAGCACAGTTTTTAGTAGTTCTATCATGCACAGATCATAGGATTAGCTGGCATGCTAGTGGTCATGGCAGCAGTTTCAATGGAACAGCAATAGGTACGTGGATAAATGGAGTTCCGTCGAAGTCGGTCAAGGGAGAAGTATAAAGGAGGTGGCATTGTGTTATCGAGGGGTGGGAAAGTTCGCAGTCAGAAATCAGTGTGTTGGGGCTGTGGGGTACGGTTGCTGGGGGTCTTGCTGGATCCTCTTTCCATTCCCACCCCGTTTTTCCAAATGTGGCGCACTACGGGAAGGAGATTACATCAACCCTAAAGCTCCTCCCAGATTGCTATTATCTCCGTGCACATAGGTGCAGGTGGTCAATAGATGGGCTGCAGAGGAGTCTCATCCTCAAATAATTGCTAAACCAGATCCATGTGAAGCGATCCTAGTACTCAATCCACCAATCTCTCCATTTTTCCATTTCTTCATCCCTTTCCTCACAAGACCTTTACAAGTTCCCACCTATTCCAATCCCCACAAGCAATCTGTATGGCGAAGGCTTACAATCATTCTTCGGAGGGAGCTGCAGGGGCCTTTCCTTCTCATATCATATCCAAAGCACCTTCTTGGATTCACCAGTATCTCAGTTTCTCCAATTCTTGATCCGTTATAATGTTCCCCACCATTCCATTCCACTGCCCACCAGCAATTTTGTCAACAACAGCTTAGTTGGATCAATTCCAGATTCTGTCAGTGCCTTGAACAGGCTCAGCTATCTGTGAGTATCAGCAGATCTGGTATGGGTGGGAGGAGCATGCAACATGAGTGTGAGCATGTAGAGACACACACGTGCATAGATGAGTATGAGAAAGGCATGGAAATGGCATACATGTGACCAACTCATGATGAGTCTGGGGTGACCACCATCATACGATGACCAGTCAGTGGTCGTCTTATCACGAGGCGAAGGATGGCCCTGTTAGGTCGTGGCAAAAAAATCAGGGTTTTGAGGGAAATGTTTCGAAACGAGTAGCTGGCAAACAGTCAAGAATGATAGTCCCATTAGCAATCCATGTTCAATCCATTTCATCAACTTCACGCCTTTTCAACACTACACTGGGTGGTGTGGAGCCAATCATTCACATGATGCACACTAACCTCAAGCAACACCCCTCGCATTTGGCCCCACAACTCGACATCACGAATGCTTTCAACACCGTGGAATGTCGTCATCTTTTCAGAACACCGCAACTCTGTCCTTGACTTCTTCATTCCAGTTCTCCTATGGAGCGCGCCATTAACACTCTCCATCGACCCCGTTTTCAACTCCAACCACCCCGGCTTCTCTTGGGGCATCCGCCAAGGCGACCCAGTGGAGGCCCCCCTGTTCGCTAGCACAACTCACCTAACCCTCGCCGCCACTGCCATAACCTACCCCGTGTCATGGTCCTCACGGACGCCAACAACATCACCTACTCAGCCCTTGCACGGATTGCACGAGGAATTGAACTCCCTCGCCTTGGCTCTCGGCCCCTCAACCACAACGCCACCAAGTGCTTGGACTGGTCCCCAGCCCCAGCTTCGGCCCCGCGAGTACCTCGGCAGCCCGGTGGGCCCTTCATCCTCATGTGCTGCCTTCTCGCGTCACGTCTCGAGTCGGCGGCGTCACCTACAACGCTACTGTCCAATCTGGAACCCCAGTTGTGCTTGCTGCTGCTAGCGAGGTGCATCAGCCCAGCCGCTGCGTCTCGTTCCTCCTCTCCACACCCTTGGAGAAGTCACTAAGTTACTCAGAAGTCCTTTTGCCTGGGGGGAAGCCAAATACCACAAATTGCTATCATCGACCTCAGTACCCCTCCCACGCCAGCGTGCCGAGCAGCTGCGGACCTGGCGGCATCCCTCCCGTCCACCCTGGTGGGCCTGGGAATCACCGACCCTGCAGCAGAATGCTTCCTGAGCTACCTGGTCTCCGTGGTCACGGAGACTCATTTGCACTGTGAATTTTCACCGTTGGTGTTACTATGATTGGCTGTTTATTCTTACGTCGATGTGAACTGTACCCTTTTCTGCTAATTTGCATGTGTACATATTTGGGTGTTTGTGTAAGATTCCAGCCAGCTCCACTTAATTCCCGTTGTAACCAATTCTTGCAACAGCTATGTATTACAACATTGTCGACATGCTAAGTGTAGAACGTTTTTTTCTTGTGTTGTGTTTACAATGGTAGGGCACGTAGCTTCCATCACAACCACATATTATCTGATCCCTCCACATGTGTTGGATATCATTGTTTTCCACTCCGTGTGCTATTGACATGTGCAACACCAGGAAATCAAACATAGCAGTGACACAAATGACACATTCTAAGGCAGAAGATGTTTGTTTCCCTGACTGAGTTCTCTGTATTTTTGCTTTCCACCCGCAAAACTCATTGCGTGTTTGCAATTCAGGGACCTAGCCCAGAATGACCTGAGTGGGTCTATTCCATCCACCTTCAGCAGCCTAAGAAACCTCAAGCACTTGTGAGTATCATCACGGGCATCAAGAATAGGGCAACGTAACCCGGGAGATAAGCGGACGTAACCACAACCGGGCAAATCAGAGTTGGGCCATTGAAGTCCAACACACCCTTGTTCAATTCACCCTTGTTAGGCAGGAACGACCATGGTTCGCCATGGTCCTGGCCTAAGAAGATGTCTATTGCACTCCAGCTTGTATTACCACCACATAACGAAACACCACATACAACACATAACGTGGTTGTGGTCCACCACATATAATTAAATCCCTCTGCAAGTGTTCACTCTTTTGACTGAATCGACTCCATCTACTATCAACATAGGCAGCTTCAGGAAGGCAACAAAGCATAACCTAAGTTGGAATATACGCGTTTAGCGTTTTGTACGCTTGCTGTATAAACGCTACAGTATATACGCAAACCGCAGTCCCTGAGGGGTCTGGTACGCACAAGAATCCGCTTGCCCGGGCAGGAAAAAGGTTTTTCCCGGGCAGATTTTTTGGGTAAGAGGTGGGGATGGGGGGGTGTTGTAACCCCCATCCCCTTTGTATTAATATGAAAGTTACAAGAAAAAAAAACCCTTAAAACTAATCTGCCGCTACATTTTCACCCACCTTAATCATGCTACTACCCCCCCATCCCCTACTCTACTCAGGTCCACCCTCCATCCCCCGCCTGCCGCTCATGCATGGAGCCTTCCATCCACTAGTACTCATCTGCCATCACATCATCCTCCCCCTCCTCAGGTTCCTCCACCTCCTCCGGGACGTTATAGCCAGCCGGAGTGGGGGGGGTCCTCGATGTTTCCCTTCACCACCCCCAGCCCTTTAGGGGCCTTGTGCCAGTTGTGCACCACCTGCCAATTGTGCGTCACATACACCAGGTCATGAAGCTTCACCGCGCCGAGGCGGTTCCTCCTTGCCGTATGCACTGCATCAAACTTCACCCAGTTACGCTCACATGGAGACGCAGACACCGGCTGCGTGATGGCGCGGCAAGCCATGGTGGTGAGCTCAGGATGATCGGTCCCGTGCCATGTCCACCAGTCCACCGCCGTCATCTTGCCCTCCTTCACTGCTTGGCGGTCGGCAATAGCGTCGGGCATGCCGAAGCTGCCTTGGAGGTTCAGGAAGGCATTGAGGCCTTCCTGGATGACGAGAGAGGCGCGGCGCTCGACCCCGTCCTTCCTGGTGACCGTCTTGTCACCATGGTGCTTGGAGACATACTGCTTGAAGACCCTCGTGCACTCCAGGTCGGTGCGGAAAATGCACTCTTCCTGGTTGGTGGGGTAGAGGATGCGGCCAATCACGTGCAGGTTGCACGCCAGCCCGTTGTCCCAGCGGTCCTGCACGATCTCCCGAATATCCCCCACCTCGTCGCTTGTCAGGACCCCTTCCGCATGCTCGTCGAGGAAGTCGCGGATGTCCTCGGTGAGCTGGAGCATGAGGTCGTAGAGACGACCCATCATGCCCTTCGAATCCGAGTCAGTCTTGCGCATGACGACGAATGGCAGCCTCATCAGCTTAGCGAAGAACTCGGCGCGCGTCCACCACGCGGCATCGAGGATGTTGTTTTTGAATGTGTCTGCCCCAGCCCTGTCTACAGCCGCAGTCCACTCGACCCACTCATCGCTGAGGACCATCTGCGTCAGGCCGGCACGCACTTCACAGAGGCGGTTGATGGCGATGTAGTTGGTGCCGAATCGGGTTCCCGCGGGCTTGAGAACCTGTTTCCCCTTGCCGCCGTTCACGAGCAGACTCCGCATGTATCCCCGGGTGAAGTGATGGTTGCGGACGAACGAGATGAGGGTGTCCCCGCGCGTGACGATGTCCTTTGCCCATCCCTTTTTCCCGATGTCCTCCATCAGGAGATCGAGGACATGGGTCGCGCAAGGGATGAGTTCAATGTGGGGATACTCGCGCATCAACACCCTGCATGCCGCCACGTAGTTGGAGCCGCCGTCAAAACACAAGGCGACGACATTCTCAGGGCCAACCTTTTCGATGATGGGCCGCAAGATGCCCGCGATGTAGCCCCCGGTCTTCATCTCCATCTTCGTGTCGATCGACTCCACAAACACCGCACCGCTATCGTTGATGAGGAGCACGTTGGCTTGCGGGTGGCCGGCCTTGTCGGAGAACATGTCGCTTGCCACGGTGACACCGTCACGGCGCCAGCTTGCTGAGATAGGAGCGAGCGCCGCCTCAATGCGCTAGCGACACTTTGCAAGACCGGCGCCACCGATGTAGCGTCTCTTCGGCGCGACGTAATTTGGCCCCGCGCGCTGGATGCTGGAGACCACATTCCGCCACAGTGGGTGGTCCGCGTGATGCTCCGGCACATGGAGAGCGGCAAAGAAGAGGCTTATGGCCTCGTCCGCAGCTTGGTTCGCGCACACGGCGTCGTCGCCATAGAAGTCGGTCATCCGACTCTTCTTCTTGTCCGAACCTCTGCCGTTGACTGCGCCGACCGCCGCAATTTCAGCCGCACGCTTCGCTTCACGGGCCTTCAACTTGGACTTGTAAAGCGCCTTCACGGCGTCACGTGCAGTCTTCGGCGCTGCAGTGCAGAGATGCACTTCGCGACGCGCATGCCGTTCCAGCTGGTGATATGCTGCGCGCAACGGTGAACCCCGCCAACAAACGTGAAGTTGCAGTAGGCACACACCTTGGTGCCGTTCTCGCCAACGCTATTGGCCGGCACCTTGAAGTGACGGTAGACTGCGTGCTTGCTGTCCATGCAGACCAAAGACGTACTAGAAGAGGTCCCACCAGCGGAACTACCACGAGACTCTGAGGGTGGCGTACGAGAAGTGGTTGCTGTAGGAGTGGAAGCCATGGTGGCTTGGGAAAGGAGATAGCTAGAATAGGAAGCGAGAGAATGAATGTCGAGGGAACAAACGCCTCTCTTTATGCCTGGGAGATTGGGTTGGGTTGAGCTCCCAACCAGTAAAGTAGCACTTGGAGGGGATGGTGGAATGCTGTGGTTCAAAGGGGTGTGAAACGTTTGAGGGGAGGGGTTGATGAGGTTTGGTGCTCGAAATTCAAATTTTGAGTTCATTTCGCGACATCTGCGACTCGGAATTGAGATCGCCACGTCGCGAGCTTCAGATTGAAATTTTGTTTTTTTTTTTTCGGTCTGCCCGAAATTCAACTCGGCGAATTTTCAAACTATATGCAACGTACGAATTCGACAAGCGTATAAACGCAAAACGCAAAATGAAAGTAGCGTATATTCCAACTTAGAGCATAATGTTTAGAATGAAGGCAACAAAGTATAACGTTCAGAATGAAGGCAACAAAGCATAACGTTCAGAATGAAGGCAACAAAGCATAACGTTCAGAATGAAGGCAACAAAGCATAACGTTCAGAATGAAGGCAACAAAGCATAACGTTCAGAATGAAGGCAACAAAGCATAACGTTCAGAGTGAATATTTGTTGTGTTTTCTTACAGTGTTTCTTTTATTCCCTTTCTAACCCATACAACTCTTTGCATGCTTGACAATCAGGAACTTGGGCATGAACGTTCTAAGGGTGTCTATTCCATCCACCATGTGCAGCCTAAGCAACCTGATGTACTTGTGAGTAGCAGCAAGGGAGCCAAGAAGGGTTACTACAGAACCTAAGAGATGCGTATGAATGAGAGAGCCAACACACTAAGTAAAGATGGTAAGATAATAGGCATGAAAAAGGACTGAAAAATGGTTACACTGCCGACCAGGGCCAGCCTGGTGGCCGACCTGTGGTGGATAGGGTTTCCACCAAGCCTGTCAAAGGTCTGCCACAAGGAGACATGCTAGGATCGCCCACTAGTCGAGATTGAATCAAGCAGATTGCTGGCACCGACCAATGTGGATTTTGCATTGAAATGTGAGGCATTAAAGTTCTGGCATTGGACCTGGTTTGGCATATGGACATTATGTATGGACAAAGCTGTGCAAAGAACTAAGCATGGACAGCTGTTTCTGCTCATTGTGCATTCCCATGTCTAACGCTTTTCACACTCTGTGTGTGTGAGCACATACGAACCAAATTTCTATCTGTTTGTGCTGTGCTCACTACAATGCACCTAAAACAGTGGGTTGCAATCATATTTCATCAGGGCGTGCTCTCATAATCACCTACCTCAGTGAACTCACTCGCCTCTCTCACTCATTTTTATTCATTCAGCCCTGTTCTCTGAATCAACACCGCTTCGTAGCAATGGCTTGACTGAATCCATTCCATATGCAATCGACATTTACAGCCATAATTGCATATCAGCAAGTATCAGGGGATGAACTTCATTTACCATGGATTGCCGTCTTGTTCTCTTGCTGCATTCATTCAGTTTACTCCTCCCATAAAACTCAATCACAGAAATCTTGAAGACAACCTACTAAGTGGGTCTATTCCGTCCACCATTGGCAACATGCGCAACCTTAATGATTTGTTAGTATTAACAAAAGGATTAGGGGAAGGAGCTTACATAAGCTGGGGGAGGATCTGAAAACGAGGGCCTACATATGGAGACACTTAGTCAGCTCAATCTGAGAATGAGCATAAATGCTAGCCATGAGCAAGGGTTGACATTGGGCCAAGCCAAGCCACTGATCCACGGGCAGGCCTGAGGGACAGCCATTAAATGTTTCAGTCTCTCACCAAGCTCACCAACGGTCTACAGCAAGGAGATAGACTGGGGTCGCCCTCAGCCATGTGAAATGACCATGGAACAACTAGTCATTGTAATGCCGGACCGAGGCGATAGGCCATACTTACATAGTGCTTGGGTGTGACGTGTTCTTGCCCAACACGTGACACCCAAGCACTGCACGGAGCAACAGGGTTGGTCATGAGCCATGCATCAGCCGTCTGCCAAGCATACACTTGCACAGTGCCGACCAGCCTTATTCAAGCAGTTGTATATGTGCAGTCTGGACAGTAGAAAATCAGGACAACCTGAGAAGAAGTGAACGAGAATGAAATGACTATGGAATGGAAGTGATACAAATAGGAAACCCTAATTGGGTTGTACCCCCTATGGGATACCCCACTATAGCCTACACAAATAAGTAAGCTATAATGTTCTGCCACAACCATGGGAATAGGTAAAAAGGTTGCAGTAGTCCATGAGAGAGTTTGAGCTTGAAGCCTCAGGGTTTAGGTTGAACTCAAATTAGTGTGGCGTTTGCTCCAGGGCCCCATGGCATTCTGCCCATGACCCATGGAATCTGGCCTGGCACAACTGCTTATTTTCTGTTTTTTTTCCTTCTTCTTCCAAGTAACGACGCCCTTAGCATGAGTATGAATAGTGGTTTTGTTGTCTTTCTCTTATATATATACACATGTATATATGTATATACCTCCTTGCGTGTTGTACTGGCAGGTATCTTAGCAGCAATGTCTTAAGAGGGTCGATTCCGTCCACTATCAGCAACATAAGAAACCTCGTTCATCTGTGAGTACATGTGCGCAGAAAATCGACCCGTCCCAACCTGAGCCTGTTGGAAACAGGTTGCACCTTGTTTGATGGTATTTAGTTGTCAGATACCTGTCCTGATGGGACTCTATTGCCCGATCCTATGACTATTTTCCGGCTCAGGGGCTGACCTGACACAAACGGATATAGTTGACCAGGTTGATCTTCATGTCTGATTGTGAGTCAGTGTGGTCAAGGGAACATGCATCTCCTTGGTATCGTCATCTCTGTACACGCAAAACCTCGGGTATGTATGCACCACAAGGATTCTTGTATATTGATTATCATTATCATTGCAGTGACTTCAGTTCGAACAGCCTCACTGGCCAACTCCCTCCAACGACATGCAATCTCACACATCTTTTATACGTGTAAGGATTCTTACCGTATTGAAGTGCTGTATTTTTTAGCATGTCAACTTGAAGAGTTTCACGAAGTAGAGGTATATAGCGTGCCTAGGTGTTTCTCTGGTATATCATGTCCCAAGTTTTATACACGCCACAGCTAGGAATTGTACAAAAGGCCGAATTGGTCTGGCGCGGCCCAAACCTTTTCGGTCCACGTGAGAAAATTTACAATAGCCGACATATAAAAATGTATGGTCTACCAGTATTTCAACCTGTCAGATATCTTGGCATGATAGATTATTACGTGTTACCACATCCCTCCACCAGCAACCCGAGAGCATTTCCCTCATATCTGGAACTTGTTTGTGGTTCTTAGTTTGAAAACGCTCCATTTGCACATGCAGGGACACAAATTGGACTGCAATCACATGCCCTCCTGATTACAGCAGCTGCGTGGTCAAACAGACCACCTCAAGTGCTTTCTGCCAGCATTGTGGCTCCTTCTGCACCACATGTGACAAGCCACCACCAGGTGAAATGCAATCTATTCATGCAGATGGCTGATTTCAGACTATGCTCTCATTCGTGCTGAGTGCATGAACACTGCATTGCCCGCTACACAAGAAACTTCTGCAGTGTCAGGCATCCACAGCTCATGCTGAAAAATAACAAAGAATACCTTGTGGTGTTTGCTGAAAAATATATTATTGAACCTGTAAAAGCCTCCATTTGCTTTCTCTCCCACATCCTTTTTCACCAAGCTCACCGTGTGATTTCAATTTCTGATCCCAATCTCCACCTTCCTACTCCTCAAATATACACCCCCCCTCGCCAGTCCCCAAAACCTCCCCACCTTCTCCGACGCCAACTCCTAGTCAGCTTGCAGCATCTGCTACCCAGTCTGAAGGCGGTTTATCCAACGGGGCCATTGCTGGAATTGCTGTTGCTGGCGCTGTGGCTTTCCTAGTGCTGCTTCTGCTTAGCTGGCTGATGTGCAAACGATATCGTACCAGAGGGACAGGCAAAGATATGGATGGCAAGGATTTCGCTGAAGGAAGTGCACACCAAGGTAGGACCTCTTCAGTCCATGCTGTTCATAGTCCAGGTTATATTTGACTAAATAACGATCTTAAAACAAAATTGCCTCCTCCTAAACCCTTAACTCTCGCCCATTTTAATTCCTCACCTTCTTCTTATTTTCTCCTTCACCACCTCTCACAGACTCAGAACTTGATTGTTCAAACGCAGCAGCCAAGGCAGAGAAGGACCCAGGAGTAGAAGCAGCTGCTGCAGCAGCTGTGGCTTTGGCAGCAGGAGCAGCGGAATGGGAGAAGCAGAGAGATGTGGTGGTGGATATGGAGGCAGTGAATCCACATGTGTGCCAGAAGTTCACTTTGGAAGAGCTCGCACGCGCAACGGGAGATTGGGCAGAGAGGAACAGGATTGGCAGCGAAAGTTTTGGAGATGTGTACAAGGGCGTGTCACTGCATGAACCCAATGAGATTTGGGCTGTGAAGCGATCTAGGGTCCTCTCGAATGACTTCCTTACAGAGGTACCACATTTCCATAGTGCTCATTCCAGCATTGTATATGGCATCAAGTAGTGACTCATCTATGTCAAACACATACAGACACATACTCACACCCCCCCTTGCTCTCTATTTTTGTTTTTTTTTCCTCTCTCATCTCGCAGGTGAAGGAGATGGCCAGCAAGCACCACCCCAACCTGGTGCGCCTGTTGGGATTCTGTGTGAACTACGATTCCAGCACGGGCCAGATTGAGCAGGTGCTTGTGTATGAGTTCATGACGAACCGGGACTTGGAGAGCTAGATTGGACCAGGTAATCTGAGTTCATTATCATTATGGTGGATTCTATTTCGCACCTTTCAGTAGCCATTTGCTTAGAGGAGGTGTTTGTGAGTGAATCCATAT